GTTTGTGCGAGTTTTTGCCCGACGACATCTTTACTCATGATAACGCTTACGTAAAATTATAAGACATAGTTTTTTAATTGACTGTTACTTTTATATAACATCAGGCTGAAAAGTTTTTAAATCCGATACTTAATTATGTTGTTACCACGGTTTGATTAAAACTAGAATTTGATAAGATCTGCCTGAAGACGCTATTCGCCCACATCATTCTTTATGAAAATAATGTATAACCAATTATAATTATTTATTGTCGTGTACTTAATTTTTGCGTAAGAAAATTTATAATCGGAAGGAGCAAGAAAAATTAAGTCCCCTTTTCTAATCACTCCCATAATGTAGTTCATTTGCTTCAGCTGAAACAAGAAGACGTTGTCTGTCACTGTGCATACGCGTGTTCTGACTTCAGACGCCTAATGCGAGATAACTCGTATTGCTTTTGGGCTTCCGAACTGTCTGCTGTTGTTGCACGTGACATAAAACCGTTTAGTTTCAAATATTTCGCACATGCATCACCACACTGTATTATATCACACGAAAGAAAAGTAAACAGAAGTTAGAAGAGCATGCAAATACAAGCTTGCATGAATAATTCAGAGTGGGAATTTTTCCTAGCTACCATAACAGATATTTATCAGAATTCTGTACATTTTTTTATTTTATTCCTGTAGAATAATAAGATTAAAGAAGTTTTTGTGAATTGATTTCGTATTATTTTATTAACAGATGAGTTTTAGTTTTTGTATTTCTCTTTGTCAATGCATAAATATCATTCTTACTGCAGGCGCTCAGTACTTATAATTAACATGTATCTGCACCAGCACATTCATCATTAATAGTACAAAGCTGGTGAGAGTATACTCGTAGTCATGCAGTGTCGGAATTCTGCTATGAATTATCTTCGTTGGCACTAAAACGTTGGCAGTCATCGTATAAAAATACTAAACATATCTTCTGCTTATGAAATAAAAACAATCCAACGTGCAAAATTTCATTTCTTCTAGTTTCTTTAGCAGTTTTGTTTAATATTTGTTCGCACATAGTTTTCAATTTTGTCTAGTAGTTTTCTAATGGTATTTCCTTATTCCTATTTTCCACCTTTTCCAAGCAAGAATCCGTTCTGCGCGTTCAGTTACAGCTGACTTTAAAATTTTCCATTTCCTGACCTTCATATTTCATCATCAACAGAAGATGGTAAACAGCAAAATTAAACTATATTAAATCTTTATTTTCTGTAATCATTTTATGGCACATATTTATGCATTGGATAGTTTAAGGTCCGTATATGTACTCACTTTATAATGTATCAAAATACCGTTGCAGTCTAATGAAACTAGCCATTCATAGCTTTCTAAGTTTACTGTATATTTTCTAATGCCTTGGACTAGACTGAAATAAGCTTAAACATAACGGGTTATTAAAATTCACTTTTAAGTTCTAGGCAAAATGTTTTTCTGAATATTGTTCGATGGAATCTGTCAACTTAAATTACTTAAAAGTAAACTGCAAAATTTAACTTCTCCAAAGCGGAAAGGTTAGATTTCTTTGTTTTTCATAATGTATCTCTTGAGAATACGAAACCTTAACAAATAATCGTAAATATGATGCATAAAACTTAACCAATTGAGTATTTTCTTTGCATTTACTTGCATTCGGAGTAAAATTAAGCTACATTATGCATTCAAAGAAGAATAATAAATGATACGATGAAACATATTTGAACGGTCTTTTTATCATAACGAGCAATAATAGATATTACCTTTAGTGGTAATTAGTAATACTTAGTTGAAAATTATCCGCGACATTTAACCATTTCGTCTTTTAAGTGCTCACTTTGATAAAGTCAGTTTTCATCCGAGCAAAGTGCTTTAATTTCCACATAATCTCTGGAGAACCGTTTTTACGAACAAAATCCTCGCCCTTCGCTGTATTAATTTAGACGTTCCCCTCTTATACCATTTACGAACAACAGTTCGGGAATAATAGTGCTTCGGTGTAAAGACTGCTGTAAAGAGGCTTTGTTTTTCTTGTTTCTTTCTTTCCTTATTATTCTCGACAGCGTAATATTTTATTCATGTCACTTAGCTGTTAACTTAATGCAGCCAAGTAAGGTGAAAGCGATTTTTTTAATATCCGCTTTTATCGTATTTTTCTTTTGTTCCAAGCCGATATGTTTTTCCGTTGTGCTCAGCGACATCCCATGAAATTGAATAAGAATTTAATTAATATCTTTTTTTTTTTTTCTTATCCGGACGACATATTACTTCAGAGATTTTCCCCTTCTTTGTGCTTCCTATTGTATTTGGTCCTTTTTTCCCCGACATGAGCTTCCAAGCTTTCTTACCGCCATAATTTGCTTTCAACAGAACTTTTTCCAAGAAAATAGTATCGATATTTTAAGAAAATTTTATTGCGCACTTAAGATATGATAATAGAACGAGAGAAACCTTTCTTTGTTTGCTATTCATCCTTTCCGATTACTCTAAAAACATAAAAATAAACAAAGAACCATTCAAGATATTCATCTTTCTTATTTTTTTCCCTCTCGCTCTAAAACATGTTTCGTCATAAATATTTCGCAAAGGCGTCTGGATTATTCCTGTTGATATGCGATGAAAGTCGAATTTCTTTCCTTTTTTTAACCAAGGTTTAATACTTTATAAAAGTCCTTATAATATCTCGGTGACTAGATGAGCTTTGGGTTAAATTAAATTAGTTTCTATCTGAATGGGGAAAAACGCTTATTATTAAGCAAGTTTCTGTTGCGGTATGTCCCCAGATATCAGTTAAATTCTCAAACATAAGTGGAGTGACAAAACTGCTGTTCCTGTTCCCGTAGAGATTTGACAAATAAAGCTGTAATATAATTATGAGAAGGATTTTTCTTCATTGATATGATGTGACTGAAGTCCTTTTTTAGTGATTTTAGAGATCGCTTTATTAACACCGCTGTTTTGTTATATGCTGTAGTACTTCCATTTGGAGAAGCTGACTACTTTCCAACGAATCTGTATCAGTATTATATGTGCATTCGTGCCCTCGTATCCGATGATTCAGTATCCGTTGTTTCACTTATCCGTGGTTTTGAGATCTAATCGATGGTTGGGGAAGGTATTTCAGTAAGTTCCGGAATGCAAGCGAAATGACAACAGGTATTAATGTAAACCGGAATACATTCCCAGTATTGTTTTCTACACATTTGCACACTCATTTAGAGCCGACGTAACTAATATGGAGAGGAACCGTTAGACTGTGAGCTCATGATCCATCTTGATGACGTTCGTCTGGCGCATAATGTTCCGGTTTGACTAGAAACTTTCACTCTGCCGATGTTCCGGTTTGATTAGAAACAAACTTTTCTCTGCCTCAGAATGGCAACAGTGAGAATTTGACTTTAGATTTGTTTTGACGCAGCTAGAAAACGCGCTCCTGAGATGTAACATTAGATTCGATTCTAGATTCTAGATTAGATTAATTTTAGTATTTTAATAAATCCTTTTAAAACTAGATTGAGTATTTGATCATAGAATTACAGCTGAACCACCGCTTGCAGAAATTTAGATGTGGCATTTAGATACGTCGTTAGATAGTTAGATGCGTAGGCAGCGACATTCGTGATTCGATTAGTGTACATTAGTGCGTACATAAACAAATCTAAAGTCAAGTTCTCACTGTTGCCATTCTGAGGCAGAGAAAAGTTTGCTTCTAATCAAACCGGAACATCGGCAGAGTGAAAAAAGTTTCTAGTCAAACCGGAACAATAACCTTCAAGGTTTTATGCCATTAAAAGTCAACCAACCAACCATCTTGATGATCATAAATCAGTTCTGCTGTCAGTGGTCAGAGAGTATCTGGCTTATATTTCTTTACGTACTCATACAACCTTCAAACTTTCTTCCCCTTTTGCATCTAGCATACACACTATTCTCGTTACTAACGTCATATTACAGATGTGCTACTCTTAAAAGTTCTTATTAAACACAAACCCTAAAACGTAAGGGCAGTGGATACTACAAATACTTTGAAATTACATGTGTACTCTTCAGTGTTCAGAAAATGATTTATTGTTATTTGTGTTTGCCTTATAAACATTATGTTATGTTGCTTATTAAAAAATTTACGTTTCTATCTCCCTTATCTTTTATGAATATGGATAAAGTTAAAATGTCAGAATACCTCACTTTCGTAGGCAACGAGAGAGAGAGTATACTGAATTTTACATTATATTTTACGTTTCTTTATTTATCAGTACAATACATAGTGTATTGTAATGACCAGAATACACTATTGTTAATTAATTTGATATAAACTTTAATTATGGATATTACATGAATATTCTGCTTTTATGTGAAGTTCACAATTATTCGCTGTTTTTTATATCCGAGGAATAATTTTAACGTCCTATAACGTATTACCCACGGATACAGAGGCATTACTGTAAACACACATAAGGCGATTGCTTTCGGACAGTGTTGGGAAACGTTATGTTTCTAAGTGGTAGCCTGTTTATTTATCGTTGAGCTAGATTTTAATTCTCTTAAGCATAAACGACATTTCTTTTGCCGTTTTTATTTGCCTTTATTTATTTATATATTAATAAGCGAGTTAGGAAACATATATTTTACCCCGGAATTGGAGAAATTTGTTACGTAGTGTAATGTTACAGCTTCTTCCCTTTCTGTTTGCTTCATTTTTTTTTATTTCAGTAGGAAATTCGTGACTAAATTCACTAACTTTGCAAACAAAAATTACAGTGGTTCTTTCTCAATAACATAATGTTGTTTTATTTCTCGAAAAGTAATTTAGAAAAATCTTACTTTGTTTCGAGAAAGAATTCTCAAGAAGAAATACTACATGTGAATGCAACTAAATTGTGTTTGTTTTTTCATGCGATTCTGAGAAGGTACAACGTAAAAGCCTTCACAAATTATGTACTTCTGTTTTGTTGAAGATTCAGAAGTTAAAGGTGACGTATAAATCTCTAAAAGTGTCATTAATTTCAGATGTCACCACTTCAAGTTTGGAGTGGTTTGCCTCCTCTAATTCCTATGCCAAGCAGTCCGTTGACACAGTCTCGCCTAGGTCCGAGTCCTTCTGGAGGAAATCGCAGCCCTACACCCAGTAAATCTACAGATGCAGACGCCCCTTTAAATCTCAGCAAGCCAAAAGCATCAGGCAGCAATGCAAGCAGGTAAGATATAGCAGATAATTTTTGTAGTAGAGTCCCGTACAAAGGTTTGAACTGCAAAATGTGGAAAGCAAGCAGGTCTATAGATATTGGATATTGAATCAAAAACAGCTTCTTTAATTAACTCAGTTATTTATCCGTTGACAAGCGAGTTCAAACTCTGAATAAAATGTTTTTTAACCAGCCTTGTCTGAAGTTACGTACTTCCAGTGTTATCTCTGCAAATAAGCAATGTATTCTTAAGATATAATGAAACCAAAATTGGAGCCGTTTCAGAAAATGAGCGAATGTGTTACAAAATTCTCCAGAATCCAAGTAGCTAGAGTTTAAACACACTTGAAGTGCATTAAGTACATAATTGGAAGTACGTAATTTCTGACAAAAGTTGGTGCAAAATACATTTTACATGAACAAACACCTCTTTTCGTAAGAACTTTATATAAGAGCCTTGAAGAATGATATTTTGAGTTAGGAAGAAAGCCTTTTCATGTGCATTTCACTTTTTCACTTACTAATTTCAAGGTTTTCCACACAGATATATATGAACCGTGTAAATACTGCGTAGTTTGAAATTTGTGAAAAGCTTATTAGCTATGCATGCATAAAGCCGACTGCTGGATACTGAATTTGGAGCACCGGAATAAAGCACGGAAACAAAAAGTAACACAGTTTATTTTACAAATTCCTTAATATAAAAATGCTGAAATCATTAAAATTTTAGTATATTAAACAAAGAAAATGTGCTATAATCCGTCCTGAATATACCCATTGAGCAAACTTAATCACTTCTAAGCAGCGAGCATAAAATTATTATTTCATTCGTTGTTATAAATTTTGGCTGAATATTTACAATTAGCTTGGTTATGCCATTTGTTGCATTAAAATATAATTTTATCTCTAAAGATACTAGCTTAAAAATGTAGTTCTCGATTGTAGACAGTTAAGTAAATCTGAATAGAGCGCGTGTGCGTCAAGTTGGAGTTCTATCTATTATACTATTTGTTATAAGCTAAGGTTTTAAAAACTGTGTAGCACGTTTTGATGAACTGAAAACAACAAATTAATATTCTATTTTCTTTACTTTTACTGACATAACGCAACATTTTTCATATGCAGTACATTTTTAATCGGTTTCTAGTCAAAAAATTATTTGCCATGTTAGCAAATCTCTCCCTTTCTTACTAAAAATAATTTTCTGGTGTTCTAGATTAAATTATGTGAATATTTATTGCCTCCGGTTACTACAACCTAAATGTAAATGTGAATTTTCCTGCATTTATATAACTTGCGTAGCATTTCAAATTATTTATCAACGCCTTTATGTCATTAACATGTATTAATTTTAACAAAATTATCGATTATGAAGTTATAAATATATTTGTTGAAAATGTGCTTCTAAAATATTTAAATGTTTGCATAAATTCTAAATATTTTATATGACTGTGATATGTTTGAAATTTATTTAAATTTTAGTAGTAAGGGGGGGTTTCTCGAAGCAAGAACTATGAAAAATAGTTCCAACTGTCCATTACCCGGATTCGAACTAAAAATCTTTCAAACTTTGTTAATTACTTTTTATTTATTCCGTACTCCGCTGTTAGGCACTAAGTATCTTTCGCAATGCTAACCATCCCCGCTTTTTCTTTGTAATTTGTTACGTGCTTCGCCCATTAGATACTGAAAAGGAGGCCTCGTGGAAGACTTTTAAACGGGAACTGGCTCACAGCTATTTCGTTCGCCAGGACTCGAATCCGTGACCGAAGTACCAGCGGCTTTCACTGTTCGGCCGCTGGTGAGCCGTTGCTAATCACTTACGCCCCGAAGCTTGCCCAGAGGAATGCAATAATTGCTTACGTTGTCTTGCACTTTGAAAGGGCGACTGCGAGGAAGCAACGAGATTAGTCGAACGAATCAATGTGGTAATGAATTATCGTCCACCGCCGACGCCACTATAGAAGTTATTGAACACTTCGAACCAAGAAGCATGGGGAGGGGGGCGGACATTATCGTTGGTGGGATTCGAATCCCGGCTCTTCCACTCTCTTATCTTGGCGTACTAATCCCTCACACCATGACAGCAGGCATGGGGGAGGCATATTCCTTTCAATTCAATTATGTATTGAGCTTGTTTTAATGTAAAGTGATACTCCGGTATTCCTTTCTCCATAAATTTTAAGAATTTTCGCATTCTCTTGTACGCATTGTGGTACAAGGATCTGTAGTTTGAATCTTTTACAGGGCAAATTCATTTTTCCCATTTTCTTATTTCAAAGAAGCCTGATATACTCTGCAGGCTTAGTTGAGTGTACATTTGA